TAATTTTAATATTTATTGTCCAATGAGAAGTTAAGGTTTTCTGAAACATGCATGAAGCTCTGGTCCACTTTTGCATGAAAATCGACATTGATGAAAAAGTGGTAGCGGAAAGCTAAAAACACACTTATGTAACAACAAAATTTGTTTTTAAAATGTAGGAAAAGTCAATGTCGGAATGACGTTTTTCAAGGGAGGTTATTCATACTTTACTATTCTGAGTTATTTCCCTTGCTTCATAAAATTAATACTGTACTATTCTAACGAGATTATCAACTTTTTTTGCATGCGGGTGATTTTTATAGTTTACTTGAGGCACAAAGCCAAAAGCATGAAGCACCCAGTGAGAATCCGTCTAACTACTTAGTCGTTATTTATCTATTGAGACAAGTTTGCTAACCATTACATCACACCGAAGCGCCCCTTCTTCTTTTTTTTCGCAAAAACGCTTCCGACTAATTTATAAATTTTGACGCCATTTTTTTCTCGTACAAAATTTACAGAAAATCCTTTTTTAAGTCTTATACTTTTCATTTATGTTGAGACGAAAATCATTTTACCAAAGATTTCTATGAAAATGTAATATGAATATTCAGGCTTACTACATAAAATGGGAGCTTACTTTTTTAGTATAAAATAAGCCTTTATTTCTTTTGTTTTTTTTTTTTTCTCGTTTTGGAGAATAAAAAAAAACAAACACGTTTTAACGTGAGCGCTTGTGGAGATCCTTTGGGGTCCTGTCACTGGATCTAATAAACGCCTTTATCCACTGTGCCATGTGTCCTTGAGGACACATGGCACAGTGTGAGTTCAATACCTGGTTAAGTCAGTGGAGAACTTTCAGAGGGGAATTAACAGGAGATAACTGATATCCATTAGACATGGCACGTGGAACTAGAACAGTCTACCACAGTCAGCGAAATAAAGTTTACTTCGACATTCCAACCACCTGAAGAAGGCTGGAGCGTACAACGGCCGAAACGTTGTGACAAACATGGTGACAAAGATGAGGACAATAGTCCGAATAATGTAAATAGTGCCCTTGTTTCCTGTTTAGGATTGGGGTTCCAGGTTTCTTCTGAAGTTTTCTCATTCTCTTTCACTTTCCGTAGCCCTTTGCGTCTTAGTGGCATTATCATCTTGCTTGGGGTGAATTGGTTAAAACAAACTATTGATTGAATAAATGCTAAAATTATGTTTTTAGCAGCAAAATACATTGTCGACTAAGTATCAAAATTTTCTCATTATATCGTAATGTAATGTAATAGTTTGTAATAATATTGTAATAAATGTTGAAGAAAAAATTCGTTCTTATCCTAGAGTTTATCGAGAACTTCCATTTCATTTACTCCACGGGATTTTTTTTGGGGGGGGGGTGTTTGTTTTTTTGTTTTTGTTTCTTTTTTTTTTTTTTGGCAAATCAGAATCGACAGCGTTTCATATTTTGTGACAAATACGAAATAAATCTTATAAATTGTTTTGAACTTAGTCGCGGTTAACTGAAATGGCCGATCGCATACACACGAGTAAGGAGGAATTCAATTTTCTGTTGTCAGTGTTCTTTCATAAAGATCTATCTACTTTATTTTCCGTTTTTATTTCTGCGTAAAACTTTGTCCAGTAGAGAACCTGTAGGAAATAAAGCCTATTTCCAACAGAAATTGCATACCCACATACACGCCCAAACCTTATTTTTTTTACCTAATAACAGACAATATTATAAAGCGGGCTTCAAAGATTCCGCAGCACACCTCGTTTAAATCAAAGTGTCTATTGATTAGAAATATTACCTATAAAACCCCACAGATTTCGACTTTCAGTGAGTAGATATGCCACAGTCTCTACACACAAGAGATGTGGTTATATTCCTTTTCCTTCTTCTCAACACTTGTGTCAGCGACATCAAACGAATTCTCACGAAAAACAACAGCATGGACGGCCAGTCGGCGACTTCAAGCGAATCATCTCCAACAACAACGATAAAGACAGTGAATCTTAGCTAACGATAAAAGTCTTTGGACCAACTATTTAAATGTCTTTTCTAAAACTTTTTTTTTTCTCTGAACCAGCTACTCAAGCTTTTAATTCAGCTAAAAACTATATTTTTTGATTGTTTTGAATTCATCTGCATATGTTTGTAAATACAAATTATTAATTAACAGGGATACGAATGTTTCTTTATTTCTATTTTGCCATTGTTTAGAATTGGGACGTTCGTATTTTTAATATAGCAAAAACCTGGACGACAGAATTTCCTACAGACTCATCATTTCGCAGTTGAAATGGCTAGATGTAACCGTAAGTTTTATACTAATAGTTCCTTCTCTCGCAATTCTTGCTTGTGGAACTCTCTTCCGGCTTCTTGCTTTCCAGTCAACTTTGATCTTCACAAATTTTAATGCAATGTCAATCGTTTTCTTAATTCCTGTTCTTTTATTGTTCTCTCTCCTTAATAATGTTTTCTTATTTCTCATATCCTCTGGCACACAGCTGTCCCTTGCAG